TGAGGAATGGAATCAGCTTTGAGCACAATAATTTGGTTTTCTTCTTGCAGAATAGTTGCATATGTGCCTCGTTTCGTTGATCACCTAAATGATTTGTTTTTATAATGTGAATATGGGCTAGAAGCAGAAAATCAGTGAGGCTTGAAAGGGCTTCCAGTCAACCATCACCGACTGGAGAGTGCACAGCCACAGAGAAGCAGGAGGCACGCGCTGGGTTCTGCAGGGCTTGCGTTCTGTTTTACAGGTGTGTGAGACTGGCAGTGGGTAAGCTGTCAAACCCTATTTTAAGGGATACCAGACACTTCCAGAAAGCCCTTTGGAGGAATTTATGCACTTTTTACAATTTGTTGGGCAAGTCAAAACAAGATGTTGAACAAGAAAAGTCTTGATTTGCAAATGTTTGGGGGGAAAAAAAAGAAGAAACAATAAAGACAATTTCCTGTTAATAAGCCTGACATCTTTAGGGAGCACTGATGGATCTTAATCGGCACTCATTCCCATTTGAGTAACTCTGTTTGGCTTAATGCACATGAGAACTGAGGCGTATTAAGTGGCAGCCGTGGCTTTTTGTAATGATTTGACACAATCCTCTGGTGCTTCATCACGTGGCTGAGACTTTTAAAAACCCCGTTGAGAAATTCATATCTTCTCTGCCCTGAAAGCACAACCCCCTGGAACAAATGAAAACAAACAGACCTGCGGGACATTTGTGAAAACAAGGATGGAGCACAGTCGGGACAAAACTGTGGACACAGCAAGTCAAACTTGTGGTTTGCTGTTTTCATGTGTGTGTGCATGCCGTGCATGCACATGCATGCATCTGTGTGTGTCTGCATGTTTTTAACATTTAAAGTCATTTTTGAAAGGTATGTTTGTAGATTTGAACCCAAATACATAACTACAGTTGGCTACTTCTTGATTCAAAAAGAAAAGCTACAATTTTTGAGATTTCCTTTTTCCTCCTTATTGGAATGTTTTTCTGACCAGCTTCTTATTTTTTCTTCAGACATCCTGAAGTTAGCTGTTTTACCACTGATGCATATGTTTCCTGTTACAGAAAGAGTTATCAATGGGCTCTCACAAAGACAGTTTTTTTTATGGTTTGAATCTAATCGTCCTCACAGTTTGTTATTTTGTTTTACTTCTTTTCTGACAAAACCAGAAAAACCAGAGTTCCTGGAGAAAAACAAATATTACATGCATGAAGAAAACCTGCTAACTCAGCAAGTGCAGGAAGTTCCCAGTCTAGTGTAGAACCTGCAACCTTTTGGCTCCAAGGCAGCAGAAATATTCCCAAGTCTTTTTTTGTCAAGTTACGTTAAATGCTCCCATCATTCCAGTCTCCTGGTTAGGATTGAGCATTGTTTGCGTTTGAGCAACTCTGATTCCAATTCTTCCATTCTGGTTCTTTTAATAAGCTGGGTTCAAAATCTTTGCATGTTTTAAATGAGCCAGCTAATCGTAGGTCTTGATGAAATAGTCTAAACTCCTTGAAATTGAAAAATCTTCGTGCATTAGAGGTAAAACTCTTTAGGATAACCATTAAAGCCTGGTAACACTTTACAATAAGCCTCCCTTTATTAATGGTACTATTATTAAGCAGTAATGCTTAGACTACTGTAACTCTTTTCACGTGTCTGAGCAGAACCTCCCTGAACCGTCTACAGGTGGTTCAGAATGCCTGTGCTCGACTTCTGACCAAGTCCTCCAAACACACCCACATCACCCCGCTTCTCCTCCAGCTTCACTGGCTGCCAGTCAACTTCAGGGTTCATTTCAAGATCCTGGTTCTGGTCTACAGGGCCTTACATGGACAAGCACCATCTTACATTGGTGATGTTCTTAGTCCCTACACCCCCAGCAGGTCCCTGAGGTCCAGTGATCAAAGCCTACTGGTTGTGCAGTACACCAGGCTAAAGACCAAAGGTGACAGATCATTTGCTGCTGTGGCCCCCAGACTCTGGAACTCTCTCCCCCTGTGCCTGAGATCAGTGGACTCAGTGGTCTCCTTCAAAAAGCAGCTGAAGACTAACTTGTTCAAGATGGCTTTTGTATGACCTTCTTCACCACTCTCTCTTTATTCTGCTCTCCCCACCTATTCCAACTTCCTCAGGATCCACTGATTTCCCTCTATCCTATTCACTCTCTCTCTTTCTTAACATTTTTTAACCACAATTGTCTATTTTTGCTCATTTTGAAATATATTTTAACCATTTTCTTAATTTTTTATATTTTTTACATTTTTGTTTTTGTGAAGCGCCTCGTGATTTTTATCTTGAGAGGCGCTATAGGAATGATATTTTCTTCTTCTTCTTTCTCTTAATATATTAAAGTATTAACAACTGCTTAACCATATTATGTAATGCATTCCTAAGCAGACACCCCCCTCTGGGCATTTGTTCTATCCTTAAGGGCACCTAATATTTAACAATGACGGTAACGTTAATAAAGAGATCATTTGTTTATCAATGATTAATAATGCCCTAAGTAACGTTAACTCATTCACTGCCAGTCGTTTCCTGATCAGAAAAGCCCTGCATTTTCACTGTTTAAGAGTCACAGAACGTTGCGCTCGATGATGATGTCAACGCCAAAACTATCAAAACGATCCTTCGTTGGTATTCCAATATGGAGACACAATACGGAGACACTGACGCATGCTTTTATCACCAGTAGGATAGACTACTGCAATGCCCTGCTTTCTGGTCTTCCTAAAAAGAGGGGGTGTTTCTCAATGTCAAGGTGCCTGGCCCAGCGAGACAATGTCTTGCAAGGCCAGGTGCCTTGCTTACGAGGCCACTCTCCTTCCTTGGTCAAAGAAAACGGTTAAATGGAACAGGCTTGCGTCACGTGACTGAGGCTTCCACGGCAGCCACGTAACGTCACGTGACACAGGAAACGTTATATTTTACATGTATTAGTTTCAATATAAATATATAACGAGGCTTTTACTTTTTAAATTGTGTATATGTTTATTAAATTAAAAATATAAGTGAGTTACTACCCGCTAGCCACCGAAGCTGCTTGAACCTGAAAATTGTCCCCGAAGTAGCTGCCGGTTTCTGATCCGCCGTCTTTTTGAAAATACAGCGGTGTATTGTGGGTAATTTTTGACCAAGGTTAGGCTACAAGACACCTCCCGTGTATCCTTGCACAGCTAGCTAAATGGCTAACAAATGGAGAACACATGCCTCTGTAGAACATGAACATTGGAACACATCTTGGCGGCTCCCGATGACTTATCTCCTAGGCAACTGGGACGGGGCCAAGACATCAAGGCAAGGTTCCTTGGCATTGAGAAACACCCAGCATTTCAGGTCTACGACTATTACAAAACTCAGCAGCATGTGCCCTGACGAAGACCAGGAGGCAGGAGCTTATCACTCCAGTTTAAGAATCACTGCATTGGCTCCCTGTATATTTCAGGATCGATATTAAAATACTTTTAACAGTTTTTAAGCGTCTTAACGGTCTTGGGCCCTCTTATCTTTCAGAACTGCGTATACCGTAGGAGCGTGTTTGTGTGTGCATGTTTGCCGGAGGATGAGTGTTGTGAAGGGTTTTTTTATTGTCAGACTCTTTAAATTTCTGGGGATGGGAAGGAATGTGGGTATGTGGGGCCTTTTTAATTTGTTACGCACTTTGAGTTGCATGCATTGTATTATTAAGTGCTATATAAATAAAGTTTGAGTTGAGTTAAGTATTTGGTGGCGTCTTCTTCTGGTCAGCAGATTGGGAATGAGCTCACACCTTGTGAAAAATATGAAAACTTACAGAATCCTGTTATATTAAATCAGACTCTCGAGAAGAAAGCTGTCAGTTTTTATCACTGCTGCAGTTCTCCTCTTAAACACCAGTGAGAAATAATATAGCAGGAATGGCAGCAGAGCGTGTTTGTGGTTTGAGTGGGAATTGAGTCCTGATCTCTAGGAACAGGTGCTACAAATTCTGCCATTTCTGTCGTCCACATACTGGCACCCTGATTCACAGATTGGGTATGTTACAGCTCCTCAAGTGGAAGAGAATGAGGGGAGATGCAACATGACAACCACAATCAAGTGACAAGACACAGTCAGTAAAATGTAAAAACAGACTTTTAGACAAACACCACCGAGTGGGAGGGTTGAGAGGGACAGCTAGGTGGTGCCAAATCAAAGAAACTAGCAAAACAAAGCCAGGCCTAGTTTTCTAGCAATCCTCAGCAACCTAGATAAAAGAGTTTTGGTTTAACAAAAATGGGGATAAAACCGTACATGGGTGGCACCGACCTGTCTTCCTAGTGTTTATAACATAAGCTTCTATGTGATGAAAACGTACAGGGTACCCCAGACTCACCTGGTGTGCTAACAACCCCCATCACAAACCTTCAAACAAAAGATAGACTCCAGCTGTGGCACAGGTGAGCCAATCAGCACCAGGTGCCAGGGAGCGAGAGAGAAGGCAGTGGTGGTGGTGCTGGCTTCCAGCCTTTTTAATGACTTCTCAGCTTCTGATTGGTCCAGAAGAGACCTTTGGTGATCCAGATTGGTCTATTGTCAAAGGGCTGGGCACCTCGTTAACCAATCCAACACCAGCAGCTCCTGCATTCCTCTAACCAGGCTCTGCACCTGGGGATGACAAAAACACTCACACAGCCAGAGGGAAATTACATGTCCACCTGACACACAGACAATGTAACAGGTACCGCATGGGGTTTGTCTGTTGCACAAGGAAACTTCGGCATGGTGGTGAAGGGGGGAACATTTGAACCAGTTCAGACAACCAAGCTTCCCCCTGAGCCAGTGCACAGCACAACATTTATTATATTAATTATATCAATTTTGATTGTCAAATAAATTTTTCTGAGTGAAAACATCCCATTGAGTGAAAATTTGATTAACACTTTTTTACCATATTTCATGCATGCATAGGTCAAAACAGTTTTGTTTGTTTGTTTAACTGCCAGTACACACTTTCCTGCCAATGCTGATGGGTGTGATAAGTTAATATTTTTGTTTCAGATCATGGATGACACCCAAACACAGATAGCCTGGCCATCCAAACTGAAAATTGGAGCAAAGTCCAAAAAAGGTGAATATTTTCTTTCTTTTTTTGGTTAAACCAGATGACACACTGATGTGTGAATGTCAAAGCAAAACAAACTTGAGTGTGTCCTACTTATGCCCATGTTATTCTGAAGAAAAGCTGAATTTTACACCAAAAGCAAACCTTTGGTACACATGGCAGACACGAGCAGTTCTAGGCTTATTTCCATGGCTCATAAATATAACCAACATTATTATTAGCCGTGAGCTAACGTCACGGTACAGCCTCAGTATGGCTGTGCACTTGTTTTGCTAGTTCTGTGTAGGCCTCCACTGTGTTATTGCTCTGTTTCTGCTTTGTGTGTGTGTGTGTGTGGGGGGGGGGGGGGGGGGGGTGCTGTCCTGCTTTATTCATAAACTCTGTGCTGCTCTCCATCAATAGTCCAACATGGAGAGGGAACAGGTTTTACATTGGGAAAATTTTGTTAGAGTTTCTAACAATTTAATCTATTGCTTTCAAACAGGTTTTATTGATTCTTGAACCAGAACCATGATTTAATTCACATTGAAGTACATACATTCTGTAGCTCCATGCTGTCCAGAAACTGCACTGAACAACTTTGTAGACACAAGTGAGAGGTGCAGCAACTGTCAAAGTGGAGTTTACTGTGCTGGTACTTCATTTAAATGCTAGCAGTTAGCTTTAAAGTTTTGCCAAACCATCAATAAAATGTGCAAGAAGAGGTTTGCTTTTTGCAGTAGTAGTCGAATTCCAGCTAAAAAAAATAAATAAATAAAACAACTGTTTTCTGTGTTAAAATAAGAACCAAGTAATGCAGTTAGAAGTTTGCTTTTCTTAGCATCATGGTGGATCCTGGAAGTAAAAGGAAGAGAGTAGAACTAGTCACAGAGCTCAAACTGGGGTGAATCTCGACACGGCCTACAGTGTTAACGAACATTTTTGAGCAACGTGTGCCACATTGGCAAATGTGAGAGTGTCTCACGCAGGACATTTTTGAACCACGTAAGGCATTGTCTTTGCCTGCTTCAGATTTGTATCCATTTAACAGTGGGCTTTGAAGTGACCTATGACCTTTACATATTATGCACATTTTTACTTTGGCATTAATCTGTTGGAATAAAAAAAATTTCATTTTATTGAGCCAGCATGTGCTAAAATGATCCTTTACATGGTTAATGAAAGGCCCCCTGTGGCGGGAATATTCCATTTGCAACTTCAGACTGGCGGGCTGGTCTGTTTTGCTTCCAGCAAGTTTCCTGCGTGTTTTAGATCATGAACACATCTGATTTGTTTAATTTAGTGATGAATCACTCCTGTAGACACTAAGGAAGGCTGGGCGATGTTTCAGCTGTAGATGAAGGTGTTAAAAAGATGAACGCATTGCGAGGAGATAGGTTTTGGTTTTACAAACAAATATTATCGGGTGGTAAAAGCAAGCTAAAACTACCTAGTTCCCCTTTAAAAGGCTCTGAAGAAGCACTGCTGCAGATAGCTGAAGTCAAACAGATGATCTCTGATGGATTATTGAAAACAATGTGTCGTGGACTCAGTGCAAATTCTCAATAGACTGTGTGCAGGTTTTGGTTTTGAGCATGTAGATTTAATTTTGGCCAGTGTTGCTGTAGCTTTTGTAGAGCGGGAAAAATCTCACCACAGGTCGGACCTGTGTCGCTGGAGTCTTAGTGTGGAGGTGTGTATACAAGGTAAACAACGCTAACACGATAGGCAGTGTTAGCTGATTAGATACCTGCAGTAATAACAGGAGAGGATGTGCGAATGTCACCGCTTCACTAGTCCGGAGCGGGTCAATAAATTATTGCATATGTTGTAGCCAAAGGCTTTTGTATATTCGGATGCTTCCTCCCTTCATGAAATATCTACTTTGCAATTATTTCAAGTTGCCCTGTTATGCTTTATGTAATGCTGTCATACTTTCCTGTAAAATATAACCAAACTTTCGAGTGTGTGTGCCGCTTGGACACCATGTTTCCTGCTTTTGTATGCTACACAACATGCAGGGTGACATCATTTGCGCCGACCGGAATTGGTAAGGGGAATTGTTTGTAAAAGTGGCGAACGATTCCTAGGAATTGAACCAATGGGAACCGGTTCTCAACATGAACCGGTTTTCGATTCCCAACCCTAATTTTGGTGTTTTAAGAGAAGAAGCACGTTGTTCACTATGTCTGACAATTTAAAATTTTTCTTTGGACAGCATTAATACATGTCAGTAATGTCTGACGTGTTTTCGTTAACACTGGGCCTATACTCGTCTGAGGCTACGGCAGGGTTGTATAAGACAGTTGTAATTCCACTTTCAAGCAGTTGGGGGAGAAGCGGGAAACTTAAGTGTTACTTTAGAATTTTTTTAATCTTCTTGCCTTAACGTTTCAGAAAAGTATAAAGACCAAATGTTTGTATTTAGACTGTTCTAGACTTTTGTACTTGTGCCTTTCTGCAGCACAGACTTGTCATAAATCAGATGCAATGCCCATTCTAACATGTGTTGCAACAAGTTTTTTTTTTCATTGAGTTATAAATAGCTTTGGGTCTGTGTTGTTTTAGCAATGTGCAAGTTATTAGAATCAGATGAGAAGAAGGTATTTTTGGGTTGCGCCAGCATTCTTTATTAAAACGATAATGAATCACTTTGCAGTGATGAAAGCTTGCATGTTTTCCATTCCTCATATGCTTGTAACTTCATCAATACACAGAGCATTTGGATTTTTCTGTGGAGACGGAGATGTGGGAGTTGAAACTCACATTTATTGGAAAACTTGATCCAGCACTCTGTTACCAATAAAAGATTATCACGATTATTTAAAGCTCTTCCGTGAGGGAGGAGGGGTTCAAGGCGATGATCAGGGAGGGAAAGGTGTAGCGGTGCTCATTTTGTTTCTCTCAGGAGAATTGCCAGTGAGCATCTTCAAACCAGATGTGAGATCCTCGGACATTGTGTAACTTCCTCTGTAAGTCGGCTCAGAAAAATGTTGACGGGATCACGGTGCATTCTTTAACATGTTTCCTTTGTGGTACTTAATCAACTTTAGGTTCTGGCAGTTCATTCACATTCAATCCTTCATTCACCCGAAGTATCAGTTCATTCATAAAACCTGCTCTTGGTTCCACCTGGGAACCGTTATATGTGAACAAAATGGGAGAAATTAAAATTCCAACATGATTTGTGGCCAGATTTTCCAGTTCACTGTGTAAACCAAGAAGAGCAGGGGGTAGAGAAGCTGGTGGTGAATCACAGTTCTGAATTGGCAAAGATGGTTAAGTGTCTTGCCTAAGGACTCAACAACAGGGGCTTGAACCTGCAACCCTCGATTACGTGGGCACTTAGCTCTTCTGCCACTGTCGCCCCAATTATACGATTAGACAACGCAAGCATGGGATTGCCAGAGCCGTGTTTTTTGCAGCACTCCTGACAGACTCAGGATAAGTTGAGTCCATTTTACAGATCCATGATTTTCCCCTGAAACGGGTCAAGTTCGACATTTTTGGGGAAGGAAAGACAGGAAATCGAACGCGGAAACGGAGTGAAGCTCCCGAGATTGTCAGAATAAAGAAACGTACTGCCTTCCGGTTGCTTTACTTTAAAAAAAGTTACTAACTGTGAGGTCCCGTGAGAAGTTATCATCTAGCTAGCGGTCTCCTTTGTTTTTCAGGTCCGTATTGGCGATTATAAAACGGACAGAACATAAAACACAAACCTTTTGGAGCCATGTTGTAATTTTCTCCTGCTTGTTGTTGTGTTTACTGACGTGCTCTGTCGGTGACAGCTGCTCCCCTGCTGCTTCGCGTCTCATGGGAAGGGCCAAGCAGCAGCTCACACGAGCAAGACATGCTGCTGCAGTAACGTGCTGCTGACGGCTCCGGTGGAAAGAAGGGGTGAGGCTCCCATGTCTTACCTGCTCAAATGGGGCAAGGTTCTTCTGGAGGTTTCTTCCTGTTAAAGGGGAGTTTTCCTCTCTGCTGCAGTTACATGCTTAAAGTCTCTGACACATCAAGTTTAGTGACTCTGCAATCTGCTGGGTTTCCTTACATAGGACATTTTTAACTATATGGAATAGTGAACTAAACTCAATGCCCTAATAAAAAGTTTCATTTGGAAATGCCTTGTTGTGACTTGGTGCTATATAATTGAATGGCATTTTATTACAATTGTTGTCGCTTTTATAAAAATTAATATTTTGTGAATAATATGCTAGAAGACAATCATGAATCGAGTTCGCAATTTCTGCTCACAATATAAATGCAGTTGGATAATTTCCTTAGAGATATTCCACCCAAAAATGAAAATTTGTCTGTTGACATATTTCCCAGAGTTAGATAAGTGGCCAACTCATTCATTCTCCTGATCCATTTTGAATCTTGGGTGGAAAAAAACTTAAAAATAATTAAGCCTTGTTATCATATCGGTTTTTGCTTTAGACACACAATCACGACTAGGTTTGACGTCATTTTGCTTTCATTGAGTCGCCACCATGCGATTGGCCAATTGGCAGTTTAACATATGTACCCAAACAGCAGCCTGCGAGCTCAATGAATACCATTCTGCATGGATGCTCATGTGGGTACTGTAGTATCCTCTTCATTTTATCTTTTTATCTTTTAAGACGTTTGGCTAAAGTAAAGCCGTTTTTATCTAGACGTGACCTTGAGACCGTTGTTCACGCTTTATTACCTCGTGACTTGACTATTGCAATTCCATTTTATTTGGTGTCAGTAAGGGTACTGTAAACCAGCTGCAGCTTGTCCAGAATGCTGCAGCTAGATTCTTGGACAGCAAAAGGAAGCATGAACATGTGACACCAAGTTTGGCTGCTCTCCACTGGTTGCCTGTTGATTTTAGAATTCGTTTTAAACTTCTTTTAATGGTGTTTAAGGCGCTGAATGGTGTGGCTCCAACCTATTTGACGGAGTTGCTGCAGCCATATGCTCTGGCCCGGTCACTCCGCTCCAATAACCAGCTGCTGCTTGTGTCTCCTAAGGCCAGGTTGAAGTTGAGAGGGGACAGG